GTAACAAAGGGGTATTATTAGTGATTTTGTGAGATATAAAATATTCCTTTCTTGCGAGTAATGATAACCGGAGGTAGGGCCTGTTCACATTTACTTAATTTCACTTCAGTTCCAATCAATTCAGTCAGTTCAGCTCTTAATTTCCCCCTCTCATAAAATATTCATTTCAGCTTATTAGTTCAGCTCATCAGTTCAATTCAGTTCAGCTCCAATTAGTTCAGTTCAGTAAATGTGAACATGCCCGTAGTACAGAGAATATATATAGTATAATTATTCATTATTAATTCGAGATAATTGAGTTTTGATAATTGTGTTTTACAATATTTTTGTTGTTTTCGAATCATGCAACAATGATTGAATAAGTGCACACGCATATATGCGTGCGTATTTCACATATGACGGTTCAAGATATTGTGATTAGAAGTTGATTTGATGTAACCTTGTAACTAGGGTTACAATCCTTGCTTTTTACCAACTAATCATATTTTTTCAGCATTAATTTTTGTGTACATTGATGCTACATTGTTACTTCATACGAGTACAACAATATGTTTACAGAATAAGTTCAACCCTCATTTGACAAATGATAAGATATGCATCACCAATTTACTTGGAATATATATAACTCTCACATTTTAATGTTCTATTCCCCCCTCAAAATTACGTTCACCTCTAAATAGTTAATCAGCACACATTTACTCTAATAGAATATCCAATTAACCTTGTATAATCACCCATGTATAAAGAGTCCATGCGCATATATATAAGTTAGTATTTATAAAACGATAGACATTCCCAAATCCCAACTTTGTTTTACACTTAAAGGTTATAAGTCTATTATACTCTGTATATATTGAGTATTGACCGCTTAGACTGGCATATACGTACAAAATATACAAAGGTAAAGGATTTATTATTGAAGTTTTTTTTAAAAAAAAAAAAAAAAAATTAATAAAGGTAAGGCATATACTATCTCCGATTTTTATTATTTGTAACTTTGTGGTATTATTTATGAGATGTAAAATATTCTAAAATTACAAATAATAAAAATTGGAGGTAGTATTATTAATTGTTAACTTAAAATTGTGACAATATATTGTATATGAAAATAAGGATGAAACTCAAAATTATCTTCCTTAGTTGAACCATAACCTACTTCAATGACTACGACCCGTGAAAACGGTAGAATCCTAAAAATAAGCATGTGGTTGTTTGTATGGATACTATCCAATCAAACATTTCCTTCTAATATTACGGATTAAGGAACAATGACATTTTTTGTCACTATATTTTTATTATCCTATTGTATTTTTCTTGTTTAATTTCCTTAGAAAATAACAGATCACTAACCTTGTCTACTACTTTCCTTAAAATAAATTGCCCACAATTTCACATATATAAATATATATATATATATATATATATATATATACATATATATATATATATATATATATATATATATATATATATATATATATACTTCCTCCATTCTTTTTTTATCGCATCACTTACTACTTTAGGAAGTTTACTTATTATTGCATCATTTTCTTTTTAGAATAAAAAATATCTATGTTCACACTGCAAATACCCAACATATCCTTACTTTTTCACACTTATTTTTTATTTTATCTTACATTACATGGACAATTTTGTATTTTTACGTTTCTCTCTCTTACTTTTTCCCACTACCAAATTTTGCCTCCAAAACCCCTATGATGCAATAAAAAAAAACGGAGGAAGTATATATATATATATATTTGCTTGACCTAACACCTAGAAACTTCTATTCGTGGAAACCTTTTGTCTGAAAAAAGTTGTTAATTTCTCAATTTGGTAAAATGTAAGTACGTGGAGCTTAGCTTGTTGTTAAACTATCATCAATTGATGTTTCTTTTGTCCAAATGATTTGTGGAAAAGGACTAATTATACTTTGTATTTATGTCATTTATCATTTTATCTTGTAAAGTTGTGTGTATTCTATTATAGATTCCCAGGAAATGCTCAAAGAGAAAAAATATTTAGTGCAAAATGAAAACGCCAGAGTTTAAAGTTGTAGTCTTTGTCTCTTTGAGATTGAGTTTTCTTTGCGATATAGGCCCTGTTTGGTTTGATGTAAAAGGTTTTTATGAAAAATGAATTTTCCATTTTTTCCCATTTTCCTTTGTTTAGTTTGTTAAGGGGTGGAAAATAGTTTTTCCAAGAATGGAAAATTTCATCATTAATGATGGCAAATATTTTCCTTCCCAAAACAAGGGAAACCACATTTTCCTCTCTCTTTCCCATAAAAAAAAATAATAAAAAAAACAATGTAACTTCGTATTTTTTAATTGGTATTTTTAACTATCTAAATAAACTATCTATGTATTCATGTTGGATCTAGCTAATTACATTATATTTAAAAATATAAATATTAATACTTGTACAATTTTATTAATACTTCGTGTATGAATAAAGATATTACTCTGTTATAGTTTATTTTTACAATATTAAAAAAAAGGATTATTGCAGAAAAAAAAGGGTCTTATTCTATTCATCTTCATTTCAGAATTAATAAGTTCAATTAATATAAAGTTCATATATAAAAAGTAAGCTCTAATAAAGTTTATAAGCATTATCCAAGTTTAAGGGTCTGTTATCATTGACTGAACTCAGCTGAACTGAACTGAACTGAATATTTTATAAGAGAAGGAAATTAGGAGCTGAACTGAACTGAACTGAGCTGAACTGAGTTGAACTGAACTGAACTGAATTTCAACGTAAAAGAACAGGCCCTAAGTTACAGCTTCAAAGTATATATAAAAAAAATAATAAAAATTGGATGATAGAAATTAGTAAAATAACACACCCTAATTAAGGTCGTGTTGTGATTTACTGAACTTAACTTAACTAAACTTGTTAGAGTCGAACTAAACTGAACTGAATATTTTATGAGAGAAGGAAATTAAGAACTGAATTGAATTTATTGAACCTAAACTAAAGTGAAAATAAGATGAAGAGAACATACCTTTTAAATTAAGTTGAACTAAAAAAGACGAACGTTTGCACATCCAACTTAAACGTTAGTTCTAATTCTAAACCATCTAATTAATTCATGTACAAAGTATATTTATCTATTTACTTTGACAAAATTCCAATTTTTATTTTTTATTTTTCCTTTTCCAATTCATAGTTTGCTATTCAAAAAAAGAAAAAAAAAACGTATATAATTTAAATAAAAAAAAAAAAGAAAAATGAAAATGGAAGTAGCAGTAATAGAAAAAATGAAAAGAAATGTTTGCTTCACGCAAGAGGGTTACCCCTGGGCTGATATATTCTGAAAGATGTGGTTTTAAAGTTTACTCCAATAACCCAATTCTTCTCATTTTTCAACCATATTTCTTCTTCCCATAACTATATTATTTCCTCCGTACTCTTTTTAAATTATTATTATTACTGAATTTTCTTTTTATGTTTTAGTTAGTTTCTGTTTCGGAAAAAAATGAGCTAACCGGGCCTTGGAGGGGTGTCTGAGAACCTCGAATTTGGGCCTTGAATGGACCTGCAAAATGAACCCCGAGCCCCGGGGGTTGAACCCGGGGCGGAGCCTCCGACGCCCAAGTTAGTTGCCAAACAATGCATATTTTGAGAGGAGTTTAGGGGAGAGAGTGGAGGAGTATGGTCATCTTAGATGATAAGAGTGACCTCCTTTTACCTTATGCCCTTTAAGGGGTATTTATATGAGTACATAAGTGGGTTTATGAGCCCTAAAATTACATATGTGGGCTGTTGAAGGCCATATTGATATATTTGACTTATTTGGGGCCTTTTATACCTTTTTTATGCCATTTGGGTTTATATGGGTAGAGTTACCCAAGACTAAAATGGGTATGACAATTTTAGTACCCAAACAGTTTCTTTTATTGATATCATCTTAGGTCATCTCATTTCCTCTGCTATGTTATTAATGATGAATTGATGATCAAAAACTGAAAAGTAAGAAAACATTCCTGATCTTTATAACATGGCTAATGATCATACAAGTAAGTGTACTTGTAATTAGTTTATTAAATGTTTAATTAGGTGTGTCTTTAAATAGTTAGTGGTCAATTTTGTGCCATTGTTTTATGCAAACTTTTTACTTTTTATTATTATCCAATGGATTATTATGTGGGCCGTGTCGTTTATTAGAGATTAATTAGACTAATACATACAATTACAAGTAGATAATTTATACTTATAGGAGAGAATAATTATTGGTCAAGCCCTTTATTGACTAGGCATCTAATTGATGAAGTATGTATGTACTACATATATACGAGTACTTTGTAATTATAAATGATTTATCATTCGAAATACCAATGAATTGATTGCTCAGATCACTTGTCCTATTTGAAACAATTTGTATGAAGTAACAGTTAATCCCTGATCTTTCATATACTCCAATTAAATAGTTTATACCTGATAATAATGTGTCATTAATTTATCATTTATTGTTGGTCGAATTAGAATATTTACATTTCATCAAAAATTCATTTTCGTTTGATTAATTTTAAGATACTGTACTAAAGTATATGTTAGGAGGTACACTTTTACAAAGAATAACACTAAAACTATAATTTTTTTTTTAAAAAAGATTATTATCTTAATTAAACTACGTGCACCATTTTCAATTTCTGTAAAATAGTACTCCTAATAGAAACTTCATTCTAGCACAGCTGTATACATTGAAGAAAACAAAAAATACTCCAAAAGAAGGCAAAGGAACTCTTACTTCTTCATGAGACCAATTATTGACGTAATTATTAGATCAAGTGAAATTGGTCACATTTTTGTTTAATTTCTTCCTAAACAATTAAATAAAATGCCACCATTACAAGGTTATAATTAAATGATGCACAACTCCACAAGTAGCTTCCAAAATGACCCACCACCAATATTCAATTTCCCCCCTCCAAAAAAAACAAAAAATAAATAAAAAAATAAAAAATCAAATTTTATTGATTAAACAAATAGTCCCTTTTCACACCTTTTTTTTTTTTAATTAATTAATTAAAAAATTAACCCCTCCTCATTTTTTTCTCTTTAAATACCCTCCTACACCCCTCTTACAACTTCTTTCTCCCAACCTCTCTCTAAACATCCACAAATGAGCAACCATCACCAACCAAACAACCACCAATGGCACGGCAGAGGTGACGGTGGTGGTTGCGGCGGAGCCGGTAATAATAACAGTAATAGTAATAGTAACAATAGTGGTGGCGGGGGCCCGTGCGGAGCATGCAAGTACCTAAGAAGAAAGTGTGTAAAAGGGTGTGTATTTGCACCCTACTTTGACTCCGAACAAGGCACGGCCCACTTTGCGGCCGTGCACAAAGTGTTTGGTGCTAGCAATGCTTCAAAGCTCCTCCTCCGCATCCCCGCTCACCGCCGCCTCGATGCCGTTGTCACTCTTTGTTATGAGGCTTTGTCTAGGGTTCGTGATCCTGTTTATGGTTGTGTTGCTCACATTTTCACTCTTCAACAACAGGTATCTAATGCTTATCTTACCCTTTTTTTTTCACTCAAAAACTTTTTTTTTTTTTACAATAATAGTTGTCGTTTTTATAGTATAATTTGAGCTAGTAATGTGAAAATAAAATCATTAATTCACTTGAATTATTCACATTTTACTATCAATAATATTAGCTAGGGTAAGTTTTAGAAAAGAACTAATTTTTTGAATCACCGTGAATAAATTAATACAACAAGCAGATCATTAAGCAACGAATAGACAATTTTCTTACTATTAAAAAAAGAAAATTCTGATTTGAATTTCATTTAGGAAATTAAATTATGAATTTATATTAGTCTTGATTACGAGTATTATATAGTGATTAGTAAAAAGATTTAAGAAGTTTCTTGTAGTGATGAGCTTTTGATGATAATTTAAGCTAACTAGCTAAGGATGACCTTGATTTACTAAACAAATAAAGAGTAATAATAAATTAGTAACATAAGACAAAACGTATTTTCGGTCCAAATGATTGTTTGGTTGATTTTAAAATAAAAGTTGCATTTCTCTTTCATTGTTAAAGAAGTGACAGATGATTGTGTAAGGAATCATGTCAAAAATTCCAAGATAAGGTTGATGATGTTATAAATGAGCATAATTTTAAAGTATTTTAACCAATTTTGTGAATTGAAGTAAGACAATAGATTTGACATGTCCTACAAATTTCCCATTAAGGGAAATGTTAAAAGATTCTCTCTATTTATGGTTAATTGTCTAATAATAACATAAAATTTTCCAAGAATTTTAAAGAAGTTAAAATTAAGTGAATAATATATAATTTGTATAAATACTAGTTTTAGCTTGTTGGTCATCATGTGTTTCATACCCAATTGTCCATTTAACATGTTCTATAAGAATTTGTAGATTGCGGATTTGTAACTTAAAGATCAGATGAGAGGCTAGTTATCGATCCAATCCAGTGAATAAATTACCCATTCTATAGGATAAGCGTAAGAGGGTTAGTAGAGCTTGTCTATCATCATATAATTTAACAATCTCCAAAAGAACGAATAGAGTTCTTTTCATTAAACTATATGAATTGAGTAGTTTTCTATCTTAGTAGCTAGGAGTAGCTAGTAGTACTTCATTATTGAATAGCATATGGTCAAACATCCAACTTAATGCAATTGGATAAATCTAGTTTGAAGTTTGAACATCACATAAATTTTGGTTTGGTACGTTTGTTGTTTCCTAGAACATTAATTATCAACGGATACTAAATTCTCCGTTTGACATTCTTGTCCGTCTTTTCTTTCGTTGAGAAAACCAAAATGCCGAGTAGTACTAAATGTCTAAACACAACTTTTTTTAATTTTTTTGTTAGACATCCATTAACATCCCAATTATCCATTAATTAAGGGTCTGTTCATATTTACTGATTAGAGCTTAACTGAATTGAATTGATTGGAGCTGAACTGAATTAAATTGATTAGAGCTGAACTTAATTAAATATTTTATGAGAGAAGGTAATTAAGAGTTGAACTACTTAAACAGTACAAAATCCTTTTGATTTTATGCTATGTGGTTGTTATACTCAATAATATTTACAACTTAATAACGTTTTTAAAGGGTTTGGATGTTAATATTCACAAAAATTAAGCATAAAATTCAATATCAGAATTAAAATAAATTCAACTTGATAAGTTGATAATAATTCTTTACCATAAAAATTTGGGGGTTGATTTTATGTAAGAGGTCATACATAATACATTGCTTGTCGGAACTATCAAGCTAAACTTAGTGGCTCGAGAATTATTAAATTATTTAAAATTTGTACGTGCATACAATAATACTTATAGTATTATCTTTTACAATTAATTTGACTTTGTTACACCAATGCTGGTTTATTCATTGACAATATAGAAGACTTTAGGGCAAATAAGTTTTGTTGGCTGTATTTTACAACTACGGTGTATTTTTTAACTCTACTTTTGGATCATGTACGTCATTCGTAGGAGATTTTATGTTTGTTTTTGCAAACAATGGATTTCTTAAATAAAAATGACAAATTAAAGACACGTTGAACTATTGATGAGATTTTATAATTTTAGAGTGTATACCCTTAATATAATATTGAAGTTTGATTTATTTTTTAATTATTAAATCGCAAAATATCTTTGACGGTCTTTTTTTAATTATCATTTCCAAATCTTAAGTGTTGTGAGCTTACCTTTTGTTTCATACGAAGTACAAGTATGTGATAGGATAAGATGTATGTGCATAAAAGTCATTTTGTAAAAACTTGATTTTATGGTTAATTTTATCTAAACTCTAGGAGTATTTGATTTCTTTTTGTGGATGAATATTACTTTTAGGGTTTGTTCTTTTCAACTTAATTTTAGTTCAGTTCAGCTCCAATTAGTTCAGTTCTTAATTTTCTTCTCTCTTAAACAATTTATTTGAGCACTATTCAATTTAGTTCACATCAGTTGAGCTCCAATTAGTTCAGTTCAGCTCAGTTCATTAAATTAGCACAGACCCTTAAGCATGTGATTCCTAGGATAGTAAACTGTTACATGCAATATGATTCCTAGGATACATTAAAGATGCTGATGGTAGAAAACTAAACATACAATAAAATTAGATCTTAGAGTAAAACATTTTTTTTTGATGATCAGTCATGATCATAATAGCTTGATTTGATCCTTGATATGATTAAGTGTGGGCGTGTGGCTTTATAAAATCCTTAGGCATGTAACAATGATGATTAGCACATTTTATCAAGCTTTGCTGCTATAATTAGGCAAATTACCACTTTGCTTTTGGCGGCTTATTATTGACTAATTCACTTGATTAGTAGATAGATTCATCAAAAGATAAAAGACGAGGAAAGGAAAAGAAAATTTATCATGAATGTGGAAAGGTTGAGTATGTACTTGCTTCAAAATCATTACGTCGACGACTTTGAACTTCTGATTAGAAGAGGTTAATCATATGATTAGAGGTTTATTTATTTGTATCTAAGTCCTAGAAATTTTTAACCTAGTCTACATGTATTAACCTTAGCTTTACATATATGCCACTCTACCAACTTAAAATGAAGGAAAATATAATCTATTTTGGGTAAGTACATCCTAATATTTTCTAAATTAAGTAGGCCAATGAGACCCATCATGTACCTGCATATAAACAGACTATTTAGTTGAGTGACTTGGAATTCATGTAATATACAGCTCAGCTAGACAATTTAGTTTGTTTATCTTTATGATATAAACCAAAGTCATGTTTTCATCGCCTATATGTTTACTGTATATCATTGTCCTGTGTGCCTCTCTACAAAGATAACACGGAAAAATATCAAGCGATTGCACTACATGGACGAAGTTTTATTATTTTAAATAAACTAATTTTGTTTCTGACTGATGGTTGCAGGTACTAAATATGCAAGCAGAGTTAGCCTTTGTTCAAGCCAGGCTTTCCACCTTACAACGCCTTCCGGCAGCATTTCCTGCAGTAGATCAAACTCCTTCACATTGCTGTTTAGATCAAATCTCAGCATCTTCTACCATTGCCACCACTACTAGCACTAGTACCGCGATTACTTCTATGCCTTCATTCGACAACTTTGCCTTACAATCACAACCCTCATTATCGTCATTAGCAGCATCAGCACCTGTAACAGCAGCAGACTTGGCCAGTTTTTGTAACCTAACAGAATATCATCAGCAAGACGATCTAATTTTTGAGGATGGTGATCTTCAAAATTTGACACGTGAATTCGTATCCAAGTACCTTCCCGGGGTCAAGTTCAAGTCCGAGCCTCACTAATTAAATTCATACTTAATAGCTATTATTGATCATGAAGATTTAGCAAATGATCTTGATAATTTTTTGGGTATCATCTTTATGCTAATCTTTTGTAATAGTAGTTTAAGTGTTGTACGTGTATCTTCTGTGACAAACTAATCTAAATGTTGTAGCGAATGAAATTAGTCTTTTCATATTTTATGTAGGCTGAAATAAGTCGTTTCAAAGTCTAGATTTTGGGCTGTGTTGATGGGCTACTGGATCTAGTAAAAGTCCGATAAATTGCTTCATTTTTTTGGGCCCTTACTATACTCTGGTGTTCTGTTGGGCTTTTCTAGTTTTCTACATTGGTAAATATATCAAGTTAACAGTCATTCATTTTCAATTAGCAAGTTGCATTTATAAATTTTTTTGGGAGTGAAAAGTACAAATAAAATTGATACAAAGAGGACTCAATCTTAATTATTGGATCATATACTATAAGCTGTTATATGAACTAATTTTGTGATTTGAGATGAATAAAAACTTATTAAAATCCAAAATTGGTCACTTATACTTTGTAAAGCTATTACTTAATACTTACAAGTATAATCTATGCGTTTTATGGTGGTCTCCTAATGTAGTGTATAGAATGAGTTGGTTATAATTTCTAAGCTAGTTTGTACATGTTCAGGTTTGAGCTTTTTAGTTGTGCTCAAAAGTATGTCCATGCTCCGATCATTCAATATTTTTCATCATTAATCTATATGTCTATGCTCTGTTCATTTAATATTTTTCATCATTAATCTGTACTAAACTTCAACACAAGTTTAAATCCCTAAATTCGTAAACATAATATGATTTATCAATTACCAATGATAAAGAGGAAACCACTAATACAAGAACACAAACATACACAACATGGATAAGACAATAAGTTAAAGTGATCAAATTTGGTTATAAAATCCATTATTTGATTCACCTCTCAGAAATATTGGACGAGGAGATTATGTGGATGAATAAATAATATCTCACTCGTATCACAAACGATGCTGAAAATCAACCATAAAATCTTCCCTTTTTGTATGTGGATTGTGGAGTACTACTTCTCTTGTAATATATGAAGTAATTGATGATCAAACTTTGAACTACAAATACTAATTATAAACTATCAGTACCTTCTGATCCTTTCATTTCTAAAAGTCTAATTTGCTTTTTCCTTTGATTTATCCTTCTACCGTTATTCTATTTTCCATTAAAATTATACAGATCATTCACAAATTCTATACACATCTTGCATTAGACTCCTACGTCTAACCTAAATACATAAAGACAATGAGAGAATAATGAGACAAACAAAAAAGAACAAATCCTTTATCCAATCCATAAAAAAAACATGTGATCAAGAAAGAAGTCAAAGTAGAAAATGCCATTAGCAAAGACTTATAAAAGCATATAAAATCCCCCAACAAAGTTCCCCACCACACAAACACAAACACACACTCTCCCTCACCATTGTCAACTCACCCTTACATCAAGCACCAAATTACATCAAATTATTAAATCAAATAATAAAAACAATAAAGACAAATTAAAACACAAAAAATTAAACTAACCCACATTATTCCCCTTTTTCTTCTTCTTCTTCCTCAACAACTCACTTTTACACTTTCTCTCTCTACTTTCTCTCTCCTCCCATGAATCCCAGCAAAGTAGAAGATGACCCAGATCCCTTCTTCCTCCACCATTTCCACCACCTCTCCTCCAACAACCACCCTTCTTCTTTCTCTCTCCTCTTTCACCACTCGTCTCCTTCTTCCTCTGATTCGCCACCTCCTTCTCCAAGCCCGATTAACCCGGCTCAAACCCAACCCCAGATTCAACCCATCTCAAATCACTCGGGTCATGATTCGGGTCAAACCCCTTCTCCCTCAATCAACCCGAGAATCAATCCGGAGCCCCATATTTCATCCCAATTCTACACTTTCAACAGTGAATCACATGCTCTAATGATTTCGTGTATTCTGGAGAATCGGCTTGCGACTCCGGTAGAGATCCGATCTGTGACGCCGGTTGAAGTGCTGAAATCATGGCGGTCTGTTTGGAAGGACCGGAATGAAGATACGGCGTACTTGACGGCGTGGAAGAGGATACAGGACAAATTGAATGCTCATATTGACGGTAACGGAATTCGATATCTTTGTTTTAAGAATAATTCGAATCAATTTGTTTCTCATATTAGTCAATGGCAAGAAATTGTAATGTCTTCTCATAGTGATAGTGATTTCAAACATTTAGGGATTAGAGAAACTGTTGATAAGATTAAGCAACTTTGGACTGTTGGGGCTAAGTTTTATGGAATTCCCGAGAGTTTTATTCGGGTTTGTATCGCTTCGTGTAACGTATGCGCCGGTGTGTCTGATGGTGGGGGTGGAGGGGGAGGGGGGTTTTCGGGGGGAAGGCCGAAACGGAGGAGGTTTGAGTATACGGAGTCGTTTGATGTGCCGGCGAAAGAGGTGCCGAATAAGTTGCAGCAGCTTGCCAAGAAGCATAAGGTGGTGCTTTGTATTAGGCAGAAGTATATTAGGTATAAGCCGTTTATGGCTGAAGTGAAGGATTATGCGTGTCATAGGGCTGGGGAGCCGGCTTCGAGTAAGAAGAACTCGAAAGTTTTGAAGAGGGAACCGTATGCGTCTAAGAGGTGTGGGTGTGGGTTTAGGATTAGGGCGATTGTGCCTATTACGAATTATAATGAGAAGGATAAGACTTTTGTGTATCAGGAGGAAGGGATGGCGGTTTTTAAGTTGTATGCTGTGCATACAGGACACGAGCCTGGTCCGTTGGATGGGAATGCGAGGATTATGCATCGGGTTGTGGGGCATAAAGGGGTGTTTTTGAATGATCAGGAGACGGAGTATGGGGTGAATGAGGAGTTGGAGAATGATTCTTTCATGGGTAGGGATGAAAGTGATTTTGGTCATGCTGTGCTGCAGCAAGCTCAGGAGCTGAAATTGGAAGTTGGTTTGTTGGAAAGTCGGATTTTGAAGCTTCCTCAGGAGTTATTGGATTCGGTTTCTCAAGAGTTGTATCATATTGTTAATAAGGTTAGGGCGTTAGGTTTTGAGACTTCTAAGACGGTTGGATTGGATTCTGATAAGCACGATTCTGATGTTATGCTGGTTGGTGAGGGCGATTTGCCTCATTGGAACGATCCTCATGATGATAGGTTGTATGGGGATGGCAAGGATACTGATTTGATTGAGGAAGACGAAGACAGTTTTGGACGAACATTGGGGGATGTTGTACCCTGGGAACAAATGAGGACGGATTGTAGGAGTGACAAGGATTTGATTAGTGAGAGTTGTAAACCAGACAAGTGGTTAGATACCAGTGAATTCGATGAGAAGAGTATTCTCAGCTGTAATTCAAAGCTAACAAAGCCCATGAGGCATGACTCTTTAGATGAGGATGTAGGTCTTGTTGGTCTGCAGGTAGATAGTTTCTATCAGGAGAATCCGAAATGGTATGATTCTCCTTGTGTCTTGGACTCCAGTACAGATTGCGGGGGTAGTGAATTTCGACATGGAGAGATTATGTAGATTCTATCCGTTGAGGTGAATTGTCCACCCACATTTTAGCTTCTCAAATTTTTTTTTTCAAGGATTGCGGCTCCGTAGAATTTGAGGGTGGGCTGTAATTTATATACAGGAGGACTCAATCAGACCCTTTGACTTTGATTTTAGGTGCCTTTTTCTTAGTGTTGTATATTATGACTGCCAGGATTTGCTGCACATAGCTTGTTCTGTTGCTTCTGACCCTGTTTGTAATTTTCCGGTGCTTTTAGCTCCATTATTATTGCATATGATTGATTCATGATCCTTTCTATTTCAATTGATTGAATCATGTCAATTTAGTACTTGGTATTTAGCACTTCGAATGTGTTGTGAAGTTGCTTGGATTTCTACTTTGCCTCGTATGGTTTGCAAATGTATTTTTTTCCTTGTTTTCTGGAGGCACTGAGATGTATGTACAATTATATGAATGAAAGCCCGGAGACAAGTTTTGCATCTGTTGTGAATTGAAGCAACAACTTGGTTTTGAGGCTTGCCTGAATATTGTCGAACATCTGTAGCCTTTATATCCGACTCTGTATTGTGGAACTGGCCCTCGACTAGCATAGTTGTGCTGGTATGTGTTTCTATTACGGTGCTGGTAGTGAGTGCCCTTGACTTTGAGGGTATATGGCATCAGGATCTGGAAATTTCGTGAGAATGTATAAGATGTACTGATATTATCACCGGTTGTCTAATTTTATTTAGTAGTGGTGGATTGTGGATGTGCAGATGTGATTTATTGAATTACTTTAACTGTTATTGTTTTTAAAGATCTCGAGCTTACTGAGTACAAGAATAACCTGCCTGATTTTCACAGTATTGGGCTCTTTTATCCGTCCTGTATGTGACCTTGAAAGATGCGTCTACCCTGCACCTGATCAGCTCCATTTAGAAGTACTCTTGTTTTGTTAGTTAGCCTCCGTTACATATTTAGCATACTGCCATACTGGTACACCGTGCTCAGAAAGTCTGACTTTTTTTGACAATTAGTCAGAATTTAGTCATTGATTTTACCAAAGTACCCTGGGATAGGATTTTTATTTTTGAAGTGAAGAGAGGATCATATTATTCATTCACCAACAATGTGTTCATTTTGTTTAACACATCAGTCATTCAGTGGCTGAGAACAAGTGCAGAATCTTTGATTCTTCCTCCGTTTTTAGATGCACTGACGCAGCACTTCGACGTTCGCACTAATTTGGACTATATCTTTAGTTCTATACTTTGTATTATACTTAATCAGGTGTAAGTTGTCTTTAAAAATTCCTAATTTTAAATTTTTTTAAAAAATAATAAATTCTTTTCTAATTTCTTAAATTGGATAGGATGGAAATTTCGTTTTTACTGGCTCGGTGACAGTGATGAGAGAGCATAGCACCAGTATCAGTATGAGTGAGTGTAATGTTGATGTTTTACTCGTTTTCTTTTTGTGTGGAAGCTTCCTATGTCTATTTGTTGACGGCCCCACTATCTCAGTTTGCTTACAATTCACGAATTGACAGATACTTCGTCTCCCAATTTTAAGGGCCCATTGCTAATTTGGATGAATATGAAACTGAAGTTGTACAATGTGTCTTTAAATTCTTGGTTTGACTATTCATTTATTAAGGCAAATCACTTGTCCATGGTAATTCCATGTGCTCAACAATTTTGGTTTTATGGCTCTTTCCTCTCACCCATTACTCCATGTCTCCATTAGTCCCAAGATAATGATAAATCTGCGTAATCGTACAACTTACAAGGTATAAGTCATACGGAGTAAAACTAGTTTCAGTCATGAACAAAAGAAGTTACTCCCTCCGTCCCTAAATTACATTCCTCTTTCTCTCTATCATGTGAGGAATAAATGCTAGAAAGAGGAATGTAATTTAGGGACGGAGGGAGTATCACTATAGCTTGTTTGTGAGATGCGAAGTGGGGGTATTGATTTTGATTTTTGAACCATAATTGCATTTGCGCACTATCTCTTGTAATTTTCCTAGTTAGATTCATTCTTATCATGGTTGCATTTGAACCATCTCTTGTAATTTTGATTTTTGAACCATGGATGCATTTGCGCACCATCTCTTATATCGTGACATCTTTTGTAATTTTCCTAGTTAGATTCACATAATACTTGTACTTGTGGACAGAAGGCAGAAATTATATGTTGCTCCGTTTTTTTTTTTTTTTTTTGAAAATCGATAGAGCAATTATTTGTTGCTCCGTACTAGGCCAATAAATACAAAATGCATAATTATAAGAAAAATAAAATGCGATAATCACGTTTCCAAGCCTTATATTTTTGAAATTTAAAAAAATCATTAAATATCACCAAAAATCCCTCCCTAAATTTCCTAAAACCCCATAAAAAAGGTAAAAATAATGGAAATTTCTACTTATCTTTTCTCATTTCTCATGTCAGTCTAACGCCCTCTTCGCTCTATCCCTTATTTCTCTCTCCTCTTCTTCTCTGTCCTAGCAATAGCACTTAGCATTACTAGCTTATTTACCAATTTTTACATTTTCTAAAGATTAGGGTTTCATCTTAAACCCTAAATTTCGCTGTAATTCCTCAATTACAATTCAACATTCATTATCACGTAAATTTCTTGATCATTATTTGATTTTTTCTTTTTTTGATCGTTTTTAGTATATTTTATTTACTAATTATCGAGATTTCTAACTTCTTTGCATAATTTTATCGTACAATTTTTATTATTTTGCAGAGAAATTGGGTGCATTTTCTAACAATGGATATTCGGAAAAGTAGCGTGTTTCTTAGAATGGAAACCACTTGCGAGTCTCTTCTCATTGAGTTGAAGGTTCTTTCTTTTTCTTTCATTATAATTTTTTTTATGTACTGTAATTGCATGTATATCCATAATTTAGGTTTTTATTTTCTATAAATAATGATAATTTTCAATGCAAGTAAAACAGTAATTGTGGTTTATAATGCTGAATTAGTGTTATTTTAATTCTTTTTATCATTTCTTCTTGAATAGCATGTCAAAAATATTGAAGTTGGAATCATTTGGTAAATTTCAACGCAAAAGTTTTGTGTTCCTTATGTATGAATCATTTGGTAGTATGGTGCACTATAATAATTCACTGCATTCCCTACGAAAAGTTCTTTATCATCATCGTAAAATAAAGGTCACTCGGAAAAACGCACGTACTATAGTACTAGTGTACAAAATGTTGTGTCGATATTACAATGTACCATTCTAATACATGGCTTGCTTGATCGATAAAAAGTCCGTGCTTTTTTTTGGGGTTTATCTGAATAAGGATTACGTGTGTTGTGCTTTTACTTTATTTAGTAAGATTTTATGTAAACATCATAGTCCAATTTTCTTTTACATAGGAATTTGACTCCAATAAGTAGATTTACCATTAACTCTTGGACTTTAGCACTAATTAGGGGTAACAAATCATGAAATGAAACCCATCCACTTAAAATTAGTACTCCGTATTAATTAACGTTTTAATGTGAAAAATGTTATATTGTTTAAGGTGTTGTTATAGTTGCATATAATAGCTTGATTTCACTTGACTGATTTCAAGCCTTGTGAAAAGTGTGTGTCATTGTTTTGTATCGTTGATTTCCTTGTAAATTAGGAAATATGGGATGAAGTAGGAGAAGACGAAAGTGGAAGGGATGCCATGCTCTTGGAAATCGAGCAAGAGTGTTTGGAGGTGTATACTAGAAAAGTTGATCAAGCATACCAATATAGGGCTCAGTTACGTCAGGCAATTGCTGACGCGGAGGCAGAGCTTGCACAGATTTTCTCTTCCTTGGGTGAGAGACCCATCAATATAAGGCAGGTCAGATTACATTTAGATAAAGACATGAATTAGTTTACTAGATTTTTTTCAATCATCTTTTTGATTTGTGTTTGTGATGTTTAGCCTGAGAAAGCTGTCGGGTTGAAGGAAGAATTGAATATGATCAGTCCTTTTCTGGAGGAAATGAGGAAGAGAAAGAGTGAAAGAAAGCAGCGATTTGTAGAAGTTCTTGATCAAATCAGCAACATCTCGAGTGAGATTCTTAGGTCTGCAGCTGATTCTGTTTCCCAGAAGACTGTGGATGAGAATGATCTGAGTTTGAAGAAACTAGAAGAACTGCACACCCGACTTCTTGCACTGCAGAAAGAGAAGGTTTACTTTCTTGTTATCTTGTTTGTCCATCTAATGTACTGATGCCCATGCATATTACCTCGATTTCACCTGTCCATTGTCTTAAAGTTACTTGGTTATAGCTGGACTAGTAACTAGACCAAGCAACATTGTGCCAAACTGTATCCGAGAGCACATGATCTGGTTTAGTCCCAAACCAAAACTGATCAAACTCGAATTTATTTTTTACTAGTGAAGTCTCTTTTCTAGTTGTATATTTGATCGAGTTTGGACTTCCTTTTGTATTGGCAGAGTGATCGTCTGAAGCAGGTTCTTGACAATTTGAGCACTCTTAATTCCTTGTGTGCGGTGCTTGGCATGGAGTTTAGAGACCAGATTTGTGATATAAATCCCACACTAGATGATTCTAAAGGGATTAGAAACATTAGTGATAACACAATTCAAAGGTTATCTAATGCCATACATAACTTGAGGGAAACCAAAATACAAAGGCTTCGAAAGGTTAGTGTTTGAAGCAAATTTTGCTTTGAACTTTTAAAGTTTAAGGCCACTATTGACATGGAGCTGTATGCCAGCTTCAAGATCTTGCTAGCACGATGCTGGAGCTGTGGAACTTGATGGATACTCCACCAGAGGAGCAGCATATGTTTCATAATGTAACCTCCAAGATAGCTGCTTCAGAACCTGAAATTACTGAGCCCAACTGTCTTTCAATGGATTTTATCAACCATGTATGTTGTTATTGAGAAATATAATGCACATTTTTAGGAAACGTTTTTAAAGTAATTTATGATACTGAATATGGATTATTTGCATATTTTTAGGTTGAGACTGAAGTAACAAGACTCGAAAACTTGAAATCAAGCAAAATGAAGGAACTTATACTGAAAAAGAAGTCTGAGTTGGAGGAGATATGTCGGCAAACACATATGATTATAGATGCACAGAGTTTGAAGTATTTTTCAGTTGAAGCTATAGATTCCGGTAATTTTTTGAGCTTGAGAAGTGTGAATGAAAGTAATTCAGCATATTGTTTCATTTGGTTTTTGTACTGTACTTTGTAATTGCAATGAAGTTATCTTGATTTACACTGAAAAAGTAATCATGATATTGGTATTCTACAGGTGCCATTGACCTCTCCTATATGCTAGAACAAACGGAACTTCAAATCTCAAATGCCAAAGAAGAGGCTTTTAGCAGGAAGGATATACTCGAAAGAGTTGAAAAATGGAAGGCTGCATGTGAAGAGGAATCCTGGTTAGAGGAGTACAGTAGGGTGAGTGGCATTTTTGTTTGGCTACCCTAAAATTTTTTTACATTGCTGATTTCTCTTGTTCAATTGATACTTCTCTTCTCAGGATGAAAGCCGTTATTATGGTGGAAGAGGTGGCCATATCAGTTTGAAGCGTGCTGAAAAGGCCCGTACACTGGTCAACAAAATTCCAGGTATCTAATCTGCTTTGACTCTTCTTTAGCTTCCTTAAGTCCTCAAACTTAAAGTTTGTTTGACTTAAGGTGTCCTACTTTCCTTGGCTTTGCAAATGATCAAATTTAATACCAAGTTCTTACATTAACCAAGTTTAAATTCTCAAGGCTATACTAGGAACGCTGCAAGATTCAGAAGCCTTACTGATATCTTTGTTATGTTTTGTGTTTGGAACAGCAATGGTAGATACCTTGACTTCAAAAATCCAGACCTGGGAGAAAGAAAGAGGAGCTGAATTCTCTTATGATGGGGTAAGCATACAGCTCTGTAACTAGAATATTTTTGGGGTTGCCAATAAGCTGATTTCAAATTCGTCTGCCTTCCATTCATATCCTTTGTCATATATGCTCATATCCTTTGTCATATATGCTCCATGTGTTTTGAATTTAGAATTTTACTTATGCATAAATCCTATGTCCTGTTCAGCTCCGGTTACTCTCTATGCTTGATGACTACAGCATCTTAAGGCAAGAAAAGGAGAGAGAGCGTCAGAGGCAAAGAGTATACCCCCTGACCTTTTCCACAGTAATTTTTTTTCAAGCTAAGATTCAGTTCTTTATAAATTCAGTAACTTATCATAAAATTCACATTTTACCATGGTCCTAATACCAGGATCAAAAGAAACTTCAGGGAAGACTCCTAGCAGAGGAGGCACGTTTTGGTTCAAAACCCAGTCCAACAAAAAGTGTTAAGAAGGCTCCAAGATATTCAATGAGTGGAGCGGCTGCTGCTAACAGGAGATATTCTGTCAGTGGCGCAATGTTGCAAAGACAAAACTTCAAACCTGAAAGAACTGCTCTTCATTCACATCCTATTAAAAAATTAGCCCAATTCCAAGATGAAGGTATTTATACTTTCGTTTCTTTTGGTTTTTGCTCTTGAATCAACTCCCGAACTGAAGTTGATATAATGCAGGCAAGAGAAACAATACACCTTCTGATCAACTGTACAAGAAGCAGGCCAAAGCCACAAATTTAAAAGATTTTGGATCACCAAAGAAACGCAAGCCTTTTGCTCTCATTCGAGATCCTGTAACTGCAGCTGTGCACCCAACCAACACACCAGAAAAGCAGAATATGACACCTTCAAAAACACTTTCTGCTGGAAACACTCCAATAAGCACACCATCCAAGTTAAAGTCGGATGAGAAAGGCAACAGTGGCAGCACCCCCAAAAAAGTAGCAACTCCTGTGAAAGTCAGCCCATCAACGCTGTCCATTAGGTCCGCTTCTCCCTACACTCCGGCTTCTGTTAAGGCAGTAGAAGTAGAAAAGGATGACAATCCTGAGTATTCCTTTGAAGAACTGAGAGCTGGATATTTCCTGCCTCAGAAGACAGCACTGTTTGCATTGCAATATTTAGATGAAGCTTCACTTATTATTAGTTGATCAAGCGATTTTGATGTATGTTAGGAAGTTCAGATTTCCAAATAGATAGAATGGTTGATGTTAGAAGTATCTTCTTTGTTATAATAGATCTAATATATAATTCACCAATTCTTGAAGAAGCTGTTTGCTCCATTACACTCTGTTTCTGTTGGTCTTTCAGGCAGACAAGTAAATACAAAGATAAACGTAATACCGAAAACTGTACGTTTAGATCTTAGGATTCTTAGCAGTGGTCATGTATGTTGTTCCTGCTGAATTCTGCTTCCGTTGATGTCCGAGGGCTGGTAATGGTTTACCGTCCAATTGCTCACCTACACAGCCAATACAGATTAGCTAGCCCGGGGGTTATCCGGAAATATAAATATGTTGCATCGAAACCACATTAGTACCGTAGTACGTACACAAAAGAACATTCATTTCAAAAGATACAGAAAAGTAATTAGTAAACTTAGTTCTATACACTTTTGTGTTCGGGTAATATTACAAGAGCTAAACGCAAATAGCCTTACTAACCTCTTTTAGCCTTTAGGTATCGAGGTAACGTTCACGGTTTATGTTGGATTGAAAAAAGTGAGGGAAACAAATAATTGTATAGGATGTATAAATTGTTAGGGTGAATTTTAAAGAAAGTGGTATTGTTATGAGGCCAAAACCTCCAAAATTTCTCAAAAAACATGGAAAACGGGACATTAGCCTTTAATTTTGGAATTTTTTGACTTTTTTCACCCGTAAATAAAAATTGCCGAAATGTTTACCATGATCCTAATACCCTCCGGGAGTCCAATTGGCTGGGTGGAACCATCCAATTTGCCTTTAAACGACCAATTTACCGTTTTTCAACTTGCACCAATTTCATTAACTCACGTCTACCACGAACATTTATGACAACATATAATGGTCATATAGTTCCAAAGCATTATATGACCCCGAGATTTATCCCCAAAAATCACAATGCTTTTCGACATAGGGCCCCGAAACATTCCAAATTTTCTCAAAAAGTGTGGATATTAGCCTTCAATTTTAGAATTTTTTGACTTTTTTTTCGCCCGGAAATTAAAATTGCCGAAATGTTTGGTCTCTAATACCCTCTGAGAGTCCAATAGGGTGGGTGAAACCATCCAATTTGCCTTTAAACAACTAATTTACCGGTTTACAACTTGCACCGATTTCATTAATTCAAGCCTACCACAAACATTTATGACAACAAATAGTGATCATATATGGTTCCAAACGACATTAGATAACCCTGAGAAGTATTCCCTAGAATTTCAAATCTTTTCGATACCGGACCCTGAAACCTTCAAAATTTCTCAAAAAGCGTGGATAATTAGCCTTCAATTTTGGAAAATTTTGACTTTTTTTTTCAACCGGAAATAAAAATTGCCGAAATCTTTATCATGGTACCTAATACAATCCGGGATTCCAATTGGCTGGGTGGAACCATCCAATTTGCCTTTAATCGACCAATTTACCAGTTTACAACTTGCACTGATTTCATTAACTCACGCCTACCATGAACATTTATGACAACATATATATAATGATCATATATGGTTCCAAACGACATTATGTGACCCCGAGATGTATCCCCTAAAATCTCAATGCTTTTCGACACCGGGCCCCGAAACATTTAAAATTTCAAAAATCATGGATATTAACCTTCAATTTTTGATTTTTTTGACTTTTTTTTCGCTAGTAAATAAAAATTGCCGAAATATTTAGTCCCTAACACCCTCCGGTAGTCCAATTGGGTAGGTGGAACCAACCAATTTGCCTTTAAACGACCAATTACCGATTTACAATTTGCATAGATTTCATTAATTCAAGCCTACCACGAACTTTTATGACAACATATAATGATTTTATATGGTTCCAAACGGAATTATATGACCCTTATATGTATCCCCTACAATCTCAAGGCTTTTCGTCAACAGGCCCTGAAACCTTCAAAATTTCTCACAAAAATGTAGATATTAGCCTTCAATTTTGGAATTTTTTTACTTTTTTTCGCACGGAAATAAAAATTGCCGAAATGTTTACCATGGTCCCTAATACCCTTCGGGAGTCCAATTGGGTGGGTTGAACTATCCAATTTTCCCTTAAACGACCAATTTACCGGTTTACAACTTGCACCGATTTCATTAATTCAAGCCTACCACAAACATTTATGACAACAAATAATGATCATATATGGTTCCAAACGACATTAGATAACCCCGAGATGTATTCTCTAGAATTTTAAATCTTTCCGACATCGGGCCCCGAAACCTTCAAAATTTCTCAAAAAACGTTAATATTAGCCTTCAATTTTGGAATTTTTGACTTTTTTTTCAACCGGAAATAAAAATTGCCGAAATCTTAACCATGGTCCCTAATACAATCCGGAAGTCCAATTGGTTGGGTGGAACCATCCAATTTGCCTTAAAACAACCAATTTACCAGTTTACAACTTGCACCGATTTCATTAACTCATGCCTACCACGAACATTTATGACAACATATATATAATGATCATATATGGTTCCAAATGACTTTATATGACCCCAACATGTATCCCCTAAAATCTTAATGTTTTTTGACACCGGGCCCCGAAACATTTGAAATTTCAAAAATCGTGGATATTAACCTTCAATTTTTGATTTTTTTTGACTTTTTTTCGCCCATAAATAAAAATTGAAAAAATATTTAGTCCCTAATACCCCCCGGAAGTCCAATTGGGTAGGTGGAACCAGCCAATTTGCCTTTAAACGACCAATTTACCGATTTACAATTTGCACATATTTCATTAATTCAAGCCTACCACGAACTTTTACGACAACATATAATGATTATATATGGTTCCAAACGGCATTATATGTCCCTTAGATGTATCCCCTACGATCTCAAGGCTTTTCGTCAACAGGCTCTGAAACCTTCAAAATTTCTCAAAAAGCGTGGATATAGACTTTAATTTTGGAATTTTTTTTTACTTTTTTTCGCTTGGAAATAAAAATTGCCGAAATGTTTACCATGGTCCCTAATACCCTTCGGGATTCCAATTGGGTGGGTGGAACTATCCAATTTGCCCTTAAACGACCAATTTACCGGTTTACAACTTGCACCGATTTCATTAATTCAAGCCTACCACAAACATTTATGGCAACAAATAATGATCATATATGGTTCCAAACGACATTAGATAAACCCGAGATGTATTCCCTAGAATTTTAAATATTTTCGACACCGGGCCCCGAAATCTTCAAAATTTCTCAAAAAACGTGGGATATTAGCCTTCAATTCGGAATTTTTGACTTTTTTTTTTAACCGGAAATAAAAATTGCCGAAATCTTTACCATGGTCCCCAATACAATCCGGGAGTCCAATTGGCTAGGTGGAACCATCCAATTTGCCTTTAAACGACCAATTTACCAGATTACAACTTGCACTGATTTCATTAACTCACGCCTACAACAAACATTTATGACAACATATATATAATGATCATATATGGTTCCAAACGACATTATATGACATCGAGATATATCCCCTAAAATCTCAATGCTTTTCGACACCGGACCCCGAAACATTCGAAATTTCTCAAAAAGAGTGGTTATTAGCCTTTAATTTTGTATTTTTTGAATTTTTTTTCGCTCGTTAATAAAAATTGTCGAAATAATTATCATGGTCTTTAATGTCCTCCAGGTTTCCAATTGGGTAGCTGGAACCATCCAATTTGTTTTTAAATGACCAATTTACCAGTTTACAACTTGCGCTGATTTCATTAACTCAAGTTTACCACAAACATTTATGACAACATATAATGATCACATATGGTTCCAAACGACATTATATGATCCCGAGATGTATCCCCTATAATCTAAAGACTTTTCGATAACGCGCCCCGAAGGCTCTAAAATGTCTCAAAAAGCATGGATATTAGCCTTCAATTTTGGAATTTTTTTTAAAAAAATTTTGCTCGTAAATAAAAATTGGCGAACTGTTTACCATGATCCCTAATACCCTCCGAGATTACTTGGCCAGTTTACTGGTTTACAACTTGCACCAATTTCATTAACTTAATATTACCACGAACATTTATGACGACATATAATGATCATATATGATTCAAAACAGCATTATATGACCCCGAGATGTATTCCCTAAAATCACATTGCTTTTCGACACCAGCCCCGAAACCTCCAAAATTTCTCAAAAGGCGTGGATATTTATCTTCAATTTTGGATTTTTTTGACGTTTTTTCGCCCGAAAGTATAAATTGCCGAAATGTTTTTCATGGTCCCTAATACCCTCCAAGAGTCAAATTATGTGGGTTAGAACCATCCAATTTGCCTTTAAACGACCAATTTACCGGTTTACAACTTCCAACTATTTCATTAAGTAAGCCTACCACGAATATTTATGAAAACAAATAATGATCATATATGCTTCCAAACCAAATTATATGACGCTGAGATGTATTCCCTCAAATTTCAAGACTTTTCGACACCGGACCCCGAAACCTCCGAAATTACTCAAAAGTGATGATATATTAGACTTTAATTTTGGAATTTTTTTACTTTTTTTTTCACCTGGAAATAAAAATTGCCGAAATGTTTACCATGGTCCCTAATATCCACCATGAGTTCAATTAGGTGGGTGGAACCATCCAATTTGCCTTTTAACGGCCATACCGGTTTACAACTTGCACCGATTTCATTAAATCAAGCCTACCACAAAAAATTATGACAACAAATAATGATAATATATGGTTCCAAACGAAATTATACGACCCCGAGATGTATTCCCTAAAATCATAAGGCTTTTGATAACTTGCTATTTGATACGATTTTAGGGTGTTTTGAACCTAGTTTACTTGATATAAATTGCGTTTTGGTTCATTTTTACTCTATTATTATGCAATTCTTGTGTATCCTATGCTTCACGGGTTGTTGGTGTTTTTGTTGAGATTCTAGGTTCAAAAGAACGACCAAATGGAGCCCATGGATACAAAGCCGAGGTTAGAAGCAAGAAGATGGATGAAAGAAGCCAAGGAAAGGAGCATTATAGAAGAAAAGATGAAAAAAAGGGGTTTAGAAGACCCTGCACGGCTGTGCCAGACCTTGCACGTCCGTGCAGGAGG